GCCAGCAGTGGCGGTAGGTTGTGACAAGTATGGTGCAATATTGTCAGCAAATTCAGTACTCAGGATAAGATGAGTGACAAAGGGAACGTTGTGTTTGATAATATTGAAGTGAACAGGGATGATCACAAACCCTGCGCGTACTCCACCGTGAGTTACAAGAAAATTCCGGACTGGACGACGAGCAAACACCAACCTGCTACATCCAACCAGGCAGATACTATTACGATAGCTGCCAAACCAGGTCAATGCCGACCTACTGCATAATGTCAATGTCAAACAGATCCTGCAGGAGAAGACTGGGGTGTTGGCGTCCAGTCACTGAGTGTACAGACACCAGTCACATTTCCTGCGTCTTTTGCAGCATACAGGATAGACTCATCACTGTAAAGTCCACAACTTCGTGATTTTTATTTGTAGAATACATGACAGGCGTATTCAGTGTGCCTCGCAGGACTGCGAGATGCTGCAGAAGACCAGGTTCGACCTTTCTGGACCGCCATTCACCGACGGTGGGCTACACGATGCTGGAGGAACTAGATTCCAGTGAAAACCCAAGATTCCTTTGCTCCTGGACGCTCCGACGTGTTGTGATATCTGCCAGGTGCGCAGTAACTAGTATTTTCATCGCTATAGCGAGGACGACGCCGATCGGCAAACTCTCGCTCACAGCCATCACCAGCCTCTCAAAACCATCACTTGGCATCCCCCAGAGGTATAGGAGAAAGCCAAAACAGCTCTCAACAAATAAAAGCTAAGGACGATGGAAAGGGAGCATGTCAAAAAGAAGACGAACAGTATGAAGTTCAAATGGGTTTGAACACTCGTTCCACCAACTATACCACTTTCAATAAATCGTGACGCCATTTTGTTTTAACATGAATATCGCGGATTGCATCCTGGAATTATTTGAAAGGTATTTCGTGCGGGCTGTGGGGGGTTCCAACAGGCATAAACTGACATCGCTATAGGATAACTGGTAACTTTCACCCTTCAAGGAGGTAGAGCAATGAGAATTTTTTTGTGGCGGTCGTCCAATTTTTGTGGCGGTCGTGGCTGTATTTGTGCACTTCCAAGGCTTTCATTCTGCCTGATACTACTCTCTACTGTATGGGAATCGTTGTTTAGGCATATGTAGCTGTCTTATTTGGTAGATCTGCTGTTTTCAATCACTTGGGACACTTTGTCTAGCCTATTTGTCTTTCGTTCTTGCCATCTATCAGTTTTGTGGGGTGCCTTGACCTGTATTTGTGAAGTTCTCGAGTAAAGACCCTAATTCTTGCCTGGAGTGACGTCTTGAATTGAATTTGCTGGGTGAGCCCTCGTTCAGTTGTACTTATCGTAATAGTCAATATCTGCTTGCTGGACGGACTAGCGGCTAGAATAGGGATGACCAAATGGTCCAAGTGTGTACTAGTACACGATTATTGTTTCCATCATCGTGAAATGCTCGTTGTGGAATTGCAGTCGGCGTCTGCCTTTGGCACTGAGGACATGAGGAGAGTTGATTATTACTTCTGCTCAGCAATGAAGCGATCATCAGCTCTCTTTGTTCTAATTATTGAGAGGACATACCGGCATCGCAATCAAGTAAAGATTAGGCAAACCTCGCCAACCTCCAAAGAGAGTCGAAGATATTTTCTCCAAATGCAAAGACGATCTTTGTGAGTTTGTGACTTGCATTTGCGTGCATACATGAGCAAGTCACGGACCACGGCACGTGCGCGGTTACCATGCCATCTCGAACCGACGCCATCTTTCTTAGTTCAGGGCTCACGGTTGTGTACAAATACGTGGGCGCCATTTTGTTTCTGGCCAGCTCACGCGACGACAGGTCGACTGTCACGCGACCACAGCTCGACCACCCCTTGTACACAAACTCTAGCCATCTCGCAGCGCATTTTCAGTGCGACACATGCCTCTTCAAAAATTAAAGGGGAAGTATACCCTAAAATCAAATTTTCACCAGTTGTAGTCTTCTGGGTGCTGAGTCGAATGGTCTTGGTCCGAGGAAGCTGCGACGCTCCCTTCCTACTTGAATCCCAATCGAACTCGCGCACTTCCACCGAAACTGGGTGACTGCGCCCTACTAGATGGGGATTTGTATGCAAAATGTCACTAAAAGCGCCATTTCGTTCTTATAAAAGCACGGATGACCGCGATTGGCCCATATGTTGTAGTCTTTTGGACGCTGAGTCGACTGGTTTTGGTCCGAAAAGGCTGCGATGCAGCGTTCCTCCTTTATTCCCAATCGAACATGGTTGAACAAGCGGTCACGTGCTCCTGCGTACACCAGTCACCTGGTCACCGTGCCTGCAGGGTACAACTTACTAGCCTGTTTGACCTTTTTTGGGTGCAGTCCTGTCACTCGAGTTGAACTCGAGTTGAACCTTGGTGTGAAAGTTGTCACCTGCTGGCGCGGTGACCAGGTGATTTGGGCACCCAGGAGCACGTGACCGCTTGTTCAACCATGTTCGATTGGGAATAAAGGAGGAACGCTGCATCGCAGCCTTTTCGGACCAAAACCAGTCGACTCAGCGTCCAAAAGACTACAACATATGGGCCAATCGCGGTCATCCGTGCTTTTATAAGAACGAAATGGCGCTTTTAGTGACATTTTGCATACAAATCCCCATCTAGTAGGGCGCAGTCACCCAGTTTCGGTGGAAGTGCGCGAGTTCGATTGGGATTCAAGTAGGAAGGGAGCGTCGCAGCTTCCTCGGACCAAGACCATTCGACTCAGCACCCAGAAGACTACAACTGGTGAAAATTTGATTTTAGGGTATACTTCCCCTTTAATAGAATAAGGTAGCACAGGTAGACAGTACGACACTGAAAATTTGGGTGGAACCAGGCAAGATGTGAACTAGGGGTTCAACCGAAGGAATTTTTGATTTTGGCCCTGGGAAACTAAAGATATGGTCACAAAGTCCGTGAATGCTCTACAGCGATCCCTTCATCTAGAAAAAATCGCTTCGGTTAAACTGTAGCTTAGTATCTACTGAGGATTTTGAGCCATCGATTGTCAAAATCGGCCAATATTGTGCTACCTTATACTGTTTTGAAGTGAGCTAAGTCGGCAGGGGCGCACGCGAACTCCCGTGCGCGACGACAGGGAAGGAAGCCTGTGCATATGCGTTGTACGATGCGGAAACTACACCAGCGAGGCAGCAGCAAGGCGTTTTTTGCAATGTTTCCTCCGTGACTGACAAACTCTTGAAATATTATTCACCGTTTGCTGTCTCGCTCATCGGCGCTCTACTGCTGTGTGCTTCAGCAGCTATGGCGAACCGAAAATACATGACCAGTACAACGGCGAAGCCATTTGATTCGTCCTCTTGCAACGAAACAGAGTGGCAAATCAAATAATTCACAACTCTCCATCGTCACTTCTCACAGCAGCGTGGCACGGCTCTTTCACTCGTGTAAGTGCATTAACAAAACGCTCTGAGAACAGAGATAACGAACTAGAACACGGTGTGAGTCTTTGCTTCATTCCATCAAGGAGCTCTTGTCCTCTACCTCTCCTCACCTGCGCCAGTGCATCAGCGGAGGACATAGATGTCGATCCCTTTCTCACTAAAAAAACTCGGCGGCAGAACTCGCGACTTCTCATCGCAGGACTCAGCGTGCGAACGAACTGTCTGAAGCCTTCGGCTTACGAGGCCAGCACTGCTCGCAACACACTCGCTCGGAAAGAAGCAATAACAACGACAGTGAACGGCAACCAAAGTGAAACGCAAGTCCCCAGGCGGTCTCCGTCTTCCTCAGTTCTACTGCTTCTTGTCAGTCACCAGGTCACTGCAACTCTCTCCTTGCTGTGCTCCGCGCCGCGTAGGCGAGCACAGCTCGAGTCACGCGAGCTCATTTCTATGGTGATCAGATTTCAAGATGTCCTCCCACGTAATCGAGTTTTGGCATCCCAACCGTGAGCCCTGAAGTTGCCGCTTCTTGACAGCCGTGTGTGGGGATTGCCCTATCAAAAATTTGATAATAATAATAATAATAATAATAATAATAATAATAATAATAATAATAATAATAATAATAATAATATTCGTGGCACTCAAGATCGCGGCCCCTTTGGCGCTTCATTTTGCTTGACATCTGCAAAACATCTCCGAATTCTTCGAGACCCGTTCTTGAGTATGTAATCCCAGTTTCTTCGACTTCTCTTTTCTTCTTCTTCTAGAAGCTAGAGAATATAAGAACGCACCCTTGTCAAAGTTACAGTTTTATTGTGACAAAATATTAATTACGAACTAATTACATGTAAAAAGGCGACGTGGAGACAATAATCTTAATAATGCAATGAATATAACTAAATGCGCACTCATATCACAACCAACTCTCCTATTGTAGTTTCATCATTCTCTTTAGTCACGAATTCCATTGATAATTGTGACAAGAAAACGTTCTGGAATACATGATTCGTCCCCATCATGCCCATGGTTGTGATATGAGTGCGCATTTAGTTATATTCATTGCATAATTACATGTACTTAGCTTTTGCGACTAAAAATTAATCTTGGTATTGATTACTACTATAGACTAGTACTGTATCATCAAGACTGACAAGAGTGCATAAACAGTTTATGGACTCCTGGTAATGGTCCTACAACTTGTGTAGGGGGTTATAAGTATCATGACATTGTACTGTTTTCATACTCCCTTTTTTGTCTTCTAAAAAGTATCAATAAATAATCATGCATGCAGGTGTTTTCAAACTCTTTTTTCTTTCTAAAAGTAAAAACATCACAGTAATGGATGGCCACTCAACACACTTACAAAGCTACTACAGAATCAATTATTCATTGTCATTCGCTGAGAAAAAAGGCTGCTTGTGGAAGATGAATACTGTGATCATGAGATGCTCACAAAATACACACATGCCTCTCTCTCTCTCTCCCTCCCTCCCCCTCCCTCCCTCCCCCTCCCCCCTCTCTCTCTCTCTCTCTCTCTCTCACTCACTCACTGACGCTGTCAACAAGCTCACAAGCAGAGGCGGATTTCAGAGAGGTTACTTTGCAGCATTTCAGAACAAAATTTAATGTTCAAGAGTATCATATCATTGATCCTGTGATAAGCTGGCCTATGGGACATGATCAACATGGAAAAGCTGCCTGCAGCTCTCGACTCAAGCGGAATAACACAACGAAGGGATACAGAAGCGCACCAAACCAATGCGGCAAGGAATGACATGCAGAGATTGCGGTAGCAATGAATACTAAGAGCGAGTAAGGCGTTTTTGCTTGCGATAAGTATGGGACCATCACAAATAAGATTTTATAGTGCTGAGTTTGGATGAGGACACTAGAGTCTGAGCGGGAGGGGAGGAACATTTAAATAATGTGGCCAGCGAAGAAGAGGATTCGCTAGTTGATAAATCTTCCGGCAGATCACAAGGACTACAACTGTGGTATTACTAAGGCTACTTTTTCTCGGCATATGATAATGCGTCTAGTTCTTTTCAATGGAAATGATAATGTTGACTGGATAACGGCGGCATGACCCTGGATACCATACGAGCTGGAAAAATAGAGATCTGGTGAAATATTTTAGGATTTGCCGGTGGTGGACGACCGGGAAAAACGATAGAGGTCCCAGTCGTCTAAAGCTGGCACACATCCTCCGCGACTATGTCAGACGACACGTCAGTCACATAGGTGACCTCAACAGGACTATAGAGGCACGACAGTGTTCGTTTGACTTCCTCGCTGATTACAGGCGGGGCGAACTGCGAGGGCCGCAGCACGGAGTGGCAGTCAGCGGGGATGTCGCAGTGATTCGAAACGGCGTACGGGAACAGGAAGACACGCTTGCGACGGTCGCTAGACCACTCCTCGCTGACACTGTTCTTGCGCTGAGAGTCGATACGTGACAAGGATAAACCGCAGCCCTCACTCCAGAGAGGACGTCGGAATGCACTCTCGTCAGGAGTCGGCAGCAGCTTCTCCTGCCGACGTAGCAAGTCGACGTACCCACGGTATGGCGGTAGTGATGGCGTCGGTGGTTGTTGCACGCGGCCTCGGTCCAACAGTGCCTCTCTAGTGCCGCGATTCGGAGCACAGCCCGGGGCAGCTGACGCAGCATTGTCTACAAAGCAGTCGTCGCTGCTCACACTGCTGAGTCCACTGGTAGCAAGCCGGGCCTCAGAGCTGTTAGCTGCAACTGTCTTCCGGTTCTCCACACCAGCACGCACAGGCAAGCTGCCGCCACCATGCTTCACACTCTGCTTGCGGTGAGATGCTGAAGACGATGACGATGATGCAGATGATACGGGTAATGATGCTGCAGATGGAGTTTTAGTATGAAGCGTAACAGGGAGAGATGGCTTAGCATGATTCGCCGTTGGAACTTTCGGCTTGTGATGATGATTCTTTAGCTTTGTTGCCAGCGCACCTGCCGGTAGATGCTTACCGCCGCCATTGCTGGTCGCCAGCACAGCTGTCTTACTGCTCAAGGATAAGGATGACGACGATAGCTGAATTGCTCTTTGCTGGTGATTTTGCTGGACAGCCAGAGCCTAATGCATACACACATATTGCACGCGCACGCGCACAAACACACACACACACACACACACAACAGGTAAAACAATCACCAACAAACCAAGAAGGTACCAGAAGCACAAGTGCATCGCACCAACATCGTGTATAGAAGCAGCTAACACAATAATAATTTCACGGTCAGGGTGACAACCTGTCAGCCCGAGGTTCCCACGTCCGTGGGAACACCACCACCCTCAAGGACAAAGGCGCAGATGCAGCTCCAAAAGCGGTGGGAGGTGAGTAGATCAGACCCACCACAAAGTGACAGAGGATCCAACATGGCCGACATCATTTGACCCATAGACGCAGTCAAGTGGTGTTGGAAACTCAAAACTAACACAGCTGTCTTGTGCGGTCATGATGGATGAGATAATGTGCTACAGCTATATAAGTCAAGTTACTAGTAAGACACCCAACACATCCGTATAAGGAAAATACACCAGACTTGACCTCCATATGCAGCAAGAACAGTGGGGGGGGGGGGGGGGGGGGCACAATCTTGTGGAAGAGACACGTGCTACCACATGCCTGCCAAGTAAGGCCCATCCTGCCAAATAAGGCCCATATTCACCATAACATGCACACATGCGCACCACACACACTAGGCCTAGCCCAAATTTGCTCGGGGCGCTTCGATATTTTGCCGGCAAATTTTGCCCAAGCACTTTCCATATTTTGCTTGGCATTGCCTTTCGTTTCCGATATTTTGCTCCATTTTGCTCCTGCTTTGTGGCAAAAATAGCTTCGAATGAACCGTCTACTTTGGTAAAAGTGGATGGTGACTCTGATGAGGAAAGCAAAACTGAAAATGGTGTCAGTATTACGGATTTTGTAGCATGATTTCAAATTTATGTACCCCTGACATGTCGACAACCTGCACGAGCTATTTCAGCACGACGTTGGCCCAATGAAACCAAAGAAATTAGAATAAAATTGCCAAAACACACCCGGATCCTCTGTAAATTTCGATATTTTGCTCGGAATTTGCTGGCAATTTCTTTTCGTGGGAAATTTCGATATTTTGCTGGAAGAATTGCCGGCAAATTTGGGCTAGGCCTAACACACACACCATGTACACACACACACACACACACACACCATGTACACACTCACACCATGTACACACACACACACACACACCCACTTGCACATACATGTACACACACTTGCACACACACACACACACATCTAATTTTGCAATCAGTACAACTATTATTATGAGAACACAGCACACATGCCATGTATGCCAGGGGTGCACTCGGCACTCGAATGCTCGGTAAGCAGTAGCCACAAACACAACCATTTCAAAACACCAGTTTTTACCTTCTTCTTTGCGGGAGGCTGTAGCGAAACTCCTGAGGCTGCAGCAGCACCACCCGCAGCATCAGCATTGCTCAGGCGCGGAGCGCTGCAATATGTGGTTGCAGCTGTGGCGGCACCTGCGGCACTATCCGGAGATGACCGGTCCCTGTGAAAAACACCACCAGTCACGCATGGCATCACTTGCAATGGTTGTTTCGAGTACAATCAAGAGTACATACCCGCGAAGCGTGTGCAACTCCCGCATGCAGCGCTGTCCAGACAGAATTTTCAAGCGGACGGCATTTTTTTAGACGATGCAATGCGTTTGTACCGGGTGTCGATGCCTCACAAGTGTTTCCTTGCACTAGTCTGTACAGGATCAAATCGGGCTTTGGCCACCACTGGTCCAGGACATAAATGTTACTAGTACACCACACAATGCATCATAAAAGTTGAGCTGCACACTCTTTGGTGTTGCGTACGCTTGCTACCATGCACAACTTCAAAGGAAACCTTGACTCACGGAGAACACATACCACAGCCACAGGTTGACTATCCAAACACGTTGGTACTAGCCCCATTTCGGATAAATGAACAATGCGAGTAATTGAACCATAGCTTTTTCCATACTGTTACATTACCCAATGTGCATTTACAGTCCATTCATCGGAAACTGGCACCCTGACATTTTGGTGTCTCCCACACATAGTTGTAGATATCGTGAAAACAACAGCACATCCTGCATTGTGCGACCCGTGCAATTACTCCTTGCCACATTTGAGGCCAGAAAAGTCCAACAGGGAAATAGAAATTCAGCCAGGTTTTACAAAATTGGGACAGGTATGCCATGGCAAAATGTATGGAGAAGCAGATCCCAAGCCCAGATTTTCGAGATTTAAAGTGGGCTTTTGATCCTCAATTCGGCCCAAATCGGACTTTCAAAAGCCAGCGGGACTATTTCCGATGAATGGACTGTAGTGTAGTGGCCTTTACGCACGCTGCTGCTCATGGTATACACCACTGTCTTCACGTGACAATAGGACCAAGACATGCGCGCTGTTGCATGAAATCTTCTACGCATGGCATGCAGAATTGCAGCGGAAGTTGGCAAAGGGGCGGAATGTGATACCCCGTGAAGCATATTGAGCTGATGTCTTACTATTATTCCCAAAGGCCAGGTCCGAATGTGTGAAGATCGGACACCCCATATATCCGGCTAAACTATTAATTTTAGTTCCTGTGAGCACGCTCCGTACTACACATTCACATCACGTCACATGAGCATGGTCACGGAGACAGACAATCCGCGTAGCGTCAGTCCATGAATACGGCCGTCAAGTCTATCGTGTTTACCGGCCACAACACACCGGCACCAACGACATACCTTTCCCGCTCGCTTTTCAGGAATGCCTGCAGTAAATTGGGATCAAGAAGATGTTCTTCGGGCTCCCATGTGTTGGACTTTTCCGGATAATTTTTCCACTTTACAAGATATTCCACCCTATCCTGTAGCCCAAACGGAAACCAAACACACACGGTACAGAGATAGAGAGATAGAGAGAAGAGAGAGAGAGAGAGAGAGAGAGAGAGAGAGAGAGAGAGAGAGAGAGAGAGAGAGAGAGAGAGAGAGAGAGAGAGAGAGAGAGAAGGGAGAGTGAGTGAGAGAGAGAGAGAGAGAGAGAGAGAGAGAGAGAGAGAGAGAGAGAGAGAGAGAGAGAGAGAGAGAGAGAGAGAGAGAGAGAGAGAGAGAGAGAGAGAGAGAGAGAGAGAGAGACACACACACACAGAAAGAGAGAGACCGAGACAAGAATGGCAAAGTCAGACGGAAACTGATTGTCACCACCAAGACGATGTGGCAAAATCTTCATCCGGGACTACATAGTACAGTACTGATACTCCACTTTTAAACTCGGATACTGAGGGTGCGTTTGGTTGGTACGACCTAGAACAGGATTCACCAGAACAGCGTGTTAGGTTGGGACTACACCTGTTCTGGGTCGGCCAGAAGATGTTCTGCTTGCTCCGGCCTCGAGGCCGGAGCAGACCGAGCAGTTTCACTTTTTCACAGTGAAACCTGGCGGGAACATCGATTTTGGTCCCAAATGATCACGTTCATACGCTTTTGGGTTGGACTCGTCGTACCGTACACAGTGACCATGGTGACCCATACACATTTTGAAGAATGCACCAAGTTTGGCATATTTTTCACAAAAATGTGCTCTGTTTCTGGAGTACCGTTTGGTTGGCATGAGGCTGCTCCATGTGCACCAGCTGTTCGATAGATCGTACCAACCAAACACACCCCGAGCCAACGTTAAATTATATAAGTGTCCCTTCTTTTTTTGGGGGAGGGGGGGGGGGGTGTCCCAGCCATCCCAGATAATTGATCCTCCGGCTAATCGATTCTCTACCGTACATGCACATGACATTGTACACACACATACATGTTTGCACATGTGTATGTGTGTATGTGTACGTGTGTATGTGCACGTGTGTATGAGGAGGGAGGGGCCCCTACAATTTTTCCTGGCTAGAACCCTAATCTGTCCCTCCAGGAACTTGCGATTCCGCGGCCGCGTTGTTTTCCGCGATTTGAACAAAAGTCCGTGATATCCGCGATATTTGAAAAATCATCCGCGTTATTGTAGAAAACTGTCCTTGATACTTGAAAAGCACCGCGATATTTCGAAAAGCAACCGCGATATTCGGGTCTTTCTTCGATGTTGTTTAGTTCTTCAAGCTCATCAGTAGTTTGCTTGTGAGATCGACACCAGAATGGAGAAGTTTCTGGGCAAATCAGCGGCTGACAAGTCACAAAATAAGGCTCGCGTCGAGTGTTGTCCGAGGATGGAGGAAAGCTGTCTTGCAGTTGAACACAGTCAGCGCAGCACACGTACGTTCTGTTTTGTCATGCATGATTTATGCTGTACGACCCGTACATCGTACACCACTACAGTACAAGTACCAAAATCGGCCGCAATTTCCGCAATTTTACCACAAAAATCCCGCAATATTTGACAAAATCCGCAATATTCCCCGCAATTTGTGGCATTTTACCTCGCAACTTTTTCCGCGATATTTCCGAAATGTCTCCGCAAGTTTCTGGAGGGACAGCCTAATGACGATGGATATATTTATATTTATAGGCCGAGGGAATGGAAAAGGGAAATCCCTAAAGAAAAAATTGGCTGTCACCTCCAGGACTCGAACCAGGGACATTAGCTTGAGGCCAGCAATACCCTAACCACTGAGTTATGGTGTAGCTGTCATCCCAGCAGACCGTTGAACATTTTCTTCAGACTTCGAAACTCACACTTCCTGTGACACTACACAGGCTGATGGGACGCAGCCCTCACTGTACCCACACACTTCACGCACATACATTTTTATCGAAACATGACAAACATTTTCTTTTAAGGCACGCCCAGGATACAGTCAACCTTGCGAACAACGACCCTGCATCGTGCCGGAGAAAAGTGTCGTTATTCGCGAGGTTCAAAGTATGCAGATAAATGGCCATATAGGGCAGGCGTGTACCCCTCAGACTCAGTGTTTCTAAGTTGCCCGGGAACCCCTTCCGGGGGTGCAGCGCCGCCGCCAAAAACCTTCGAAAACTACAGTAAAACAAAACTCAGTTGCTGAAACGCAACGGCTGAAGTGCTCTCAGAGTCAGAATTAGGCCCCTAAATAGCTAAGAAGGAGCAGCAACACAGTGCAGGTTGTGCAAGAACTCAACAGTCGCAGGAAGGTCCGCACATGTCTATTTGTAGGGCATAAGGCAGTATATTGTTGAAATCATAAATCATGAATCAGAGAATTCAGAGAATTCTCAGTTCAAAATTCTGTATTCAATTGTGTACGCATTGCTCAACACGATATGCGATGTGTGCAGCCAAATGCCACGATGCAATTACACATGGACGACGGGAGTAAACGTTGGGAATATTTTTGTCTCCACCTTGTCACCAACACAGGGGCGTTGACGACATGTCCGTGTAGATAATTCGAAAAATCTATCTGCAGCCACAATCACGGCCAGTCCAACGCCCGCGGCAAGTTCCCCCATAATAGTAAAACAAAACCAAACATTCGAAACGACGTCCGTCCCATTTCACAGACATTTTGACCGCAGGAGAATTTTTCTCGTCACGGTTATCAAGGTTATCATACCTTGGTCTTCCTCTTCTCTCTGATGCACTCTGCAGTGAACACTCCCACCGACCCAGAGCTTTGAGTGCGACGCTTCCGAGGCACCACCATGATGCTTGCTCACACCATGCGCTCCGAACAACCGCCAAACTGGCTTGCACGGGTCAATGGGAAGATGGAATCGATCAACAAGAGGAACCGAACAACCGTGCTCGTCCCTGGAGATACTCAGTCTTCCGTAATTTTGGTCACATCCACACAGAACAAGTGAGAGCAACCGGCGGTACGATGCGATTCTTCTTCAAATTTGTGTTCAGCCAACAGTAGAATGATAGAAGTGGCCACTGTCACAAACTCAAGTCAGGGTCAAAAGACGGCAGCGACTGCGGAACTTCAGCACGCACAGCGCGGTACGGTTTCAACATAAATTGCCCCTATACTAGCCTAGGACAGCGCGCAAAATGTATGTCAACATGCGCCAAGTCGCGCATGCACAGCAGAACTGACTCGACTACGCAGTCGCAGGTCTGGCGTCTGGCGACGTGTAGATCTACGCGTCCACGTCTAGAGATTTCTGGATCATGAGTGTAGAAAACGGCTGCAAGTGCAACACACAGTACAGACGATCTACCGTAATAATTATTTCGAATACCGGTACCTACCGGTATATTATATAAGCACAGTCTCCACGTCTCCAAGAACACCTTGGGGCGGCATTCAAAAAAATGAAGTGCCCAGTCTCTTAAAGCACACTGTGTAAATTCAGTATCTGTACCGCGGTACGCGCGGTACCGGCGAAAAAAAGTTGAAATGTGTACAGTCCATTCATAAAAAGATGGGTCCTGGCTCTGGCGAGCTCCCGTATTTGGCGATTTTTCGTGATTTCATCGTACACAGTGCAGTGCTGCGAACTTTGAAATTTGAAAAAGGGTCCAAAAAGGGTGCCTGAACTGGGGTTCGAACCGCAGAATGCACTGTTGCAGGCGGGGTCAAACGGCCTGGATTTTGATGGTTTTTCCCAATTCAGTGCTTTTGGGGCAAAACCTGGCCGAAATCCTATTCTTCCTATGGCTTGCTTTTTGGACAAAAAAAACTTCAGAAACATAATTGGAAGAGGATTCCATATGGGATTGCAGAAAAAAATTCTAAAAAAACTCAATGTTTGACCCATTTATGGCCAAAAGCTAGAAGTTCATTTTTTTCTGAATGGACTGTAGTAGTAGTAGTAGTAGAATTTATTATTTTGATAGGGAAGGCCCTACAGACGTTGCCGTCTTGTTACAGGGAACCCTAAGTGCTCTTTACAGAGCGAAACAAAAACGGATACATGTAGATGCTCAACCTGACGACACGAGACAGGCAGTGTGTGTCTGACATGAATTTGGCATGGCAACATGCCTCTGAAATGAGGTTGAAATAATAATGGAACAGTCTCCAATAAAGGAACGTCTCCCCTATAGCACGGGGCGGAGGTACATTGAAAAATAATTTTAATAATTATTAAAGGCCTTTGTTGTACTTGTAGGATTGTTTTACACGAAGATCTTGTCCCGGCGCCGCTTGCACAGTCAGCACGGTCAGCTAGTGCACTGGTGAAAATGAAAGCAAGCAAGCTCCCGGTATCTACTCTACTCGGCTAGTAGTAGTAGTAGTACGTTGTAGCTCGATTGTCTTGAGCTTGTACACGTACAGTTGTACTTCGACAAAGCGCCATACATAGGCTATGGCGGCATGTACTAATCTATGACTTGTAGTTGTACTATGCGCATGCCCCCACACGTCACCACATGTGGGCCGTGTGACGTAGATCTACGTGTGTGGACTGGACATGCACTGTGCATGTGCACACTCATGAGCTCACATGATTTTTCAATTTCTGACAGATTTTGCATACATTTTCACAGGCTCCTGACCTGAGAATCAACTTTATTTTTTACTCAAGGCCATGCCGCCCATGCGCCACTTTTGAAAATGTCATGCGAGTTGCGTCACATGACGGGCGCACTCAGTACCGCGTAGGCGCGTACCGCGTAGGCGCTTACCGGCGACCGGCGTAGGGCCTACAACAGTTGTAGGGGGCCATATATGCGCACATATACGTACATGCAGTTTTTAGCCAGTTTTATCGGATTTGCCATGGCAACTGATTATTTCATGTGATGACGAAAGAAAAATGGCAACTCGAACTGTCTGTGCATGCATGTGTACGTGTGTTGGATATATGGCCCAGTGTTCTGAATGAGACCTTTTTGTAAAGCAATTGCCTGGTGAGCAAAAGTGCTAACAGCTTCAATCGTACGATTATCTTCTCAAAGTTGCGACGAGAGTTGAAGTTAGTTGATCGCCAGTGCTATCTGTGGTGATTTCCTATCAGTATAATCATGGCAGGAGCAGGACCTCCGATGAAGCTTTTCGGTGAGTGGAAGAAATGAAGTGATTTTTTTGCTGCCAATGTTAGACAAAGCTACCAGAGTGAACGATATGCTAGTATGCAACTTGACTGCTCCTATCTCCGCCTGGTTCTAGTAGAATTTGCTAGTGACATGTGTAATTGAAAGGCCTGGTTGGTTTAAGCCATTCTCTTCTTTCGGAGTTGCGGCAGTGTCAGGAGATATTTGGTTGGTTTAGCATTTGTCAGATGCAAGGCAGGCAGTGCTCTGTGTTGTGCTCTGATTATGAACCAGTTGCCTAACAGAGCTAAAAAAAAGCTTGCTTCAAGTAGTCAGTTTACAGAAATAGCTGGGGCCAGAGAGCGCATGAGAACTATTACTGCTTGAATAAACATAATAATACGATGTATAATCCTTTTCAGCATGCACCATGTACATGTCATTGTATAATAAATTAATAATTATCTCCTAGATACAGGGTCAGAGTGGGCAATTGCAAAATATGTTTGCGTCCTTTGGTTTGGCATTCAGCAGAATATTCAATCAGGGACATTGCTATTAATCCTTCATCACCGGCCTGCAGACTTTCCATCATGATATGATGATGACTGATTGATTACTTAAACCTTTGTAACTCCATCATTTCTTGTGCAAATTCAACAATCAAAGGGTCTACGTGGTAGCGAAAACAATTGCCAAAGAGCTAAGATGCCGGACTCCCAGAGATATCGCATGCCGTATTCTTAACTCGGAAAATTCGAATATTTGGTCGATGCTCTTCGCCATTTGGGGGGGGGGGGCTTTTTGCATGCTCTTTGAGCGACTGGGCACATCATAATGACATAGTCGACTGAGGTGTGAATCGCCTTGAAAGAAAATTGAGCGTTCTGCGATGGAGGATAGCGGAATGTCCTTGATGGGACAATTTTCTTGCATATTGGACTTGGAGACACGTTTGCTGTGTTCCCGCGACTGATTGATGGAGCCTGGTATTGGCATTGCTCTCACCGAGAGCTTTCCAACGAGCCTAACATTGTGAAAAACAAGTGAAGGAGACCGAAGTTATGACCTGCTGAAGATGAAAATTGTACTGAAATTTCTAATTATGCTTCATACTGTGCTGGTAGTAAAGGGTTTAAATAACCAAATCCTAGTTTGACACCATTGGACTACGCACATGCATGTATCAGCTGGGAGTTCAGAGCTTCTAGGTGTACTGCTGATTTCGTCCAGTTTTTTGATGGAGTATCACGGGGGGGGGGGGGGGGGGGGGGGGAGCAGTAAACAGGGTGACGAAATTAACATCAACCCCACACGGTGCTGAGTGAACAGTTTCCGGGTTGTGACACTGTTCCCGTGGTAGTTTCACACTGTTTTGTTTCCTCTCTTTTTCTTTTTTTGATGGACTGGCTCTGATTGTTTGGAATTTAAATGGCTCTTGCTGCACTAGTGTGGGGCTCATCATGAGCCTCCCTGGGCAACAAAGACAAAGCCTGGACACCTGTTTCCCCAGTGTGTATAGTGCATCTCTCTAAAACGGTTTCTGGTACCAGCGAGAGACCCACCGCCCCAAAGGACACACAACGCGACCTGTAATGGCTCTGAAGCCAGGCAACTGTTTAAAGGGGAAGTTAAGGCAAAAATTAAAATTTCACCAGTTGTAGTCTTCGGGGTGCTGAGTCGAATGGTCTTGGTCCGAGAAAGCTGAGACGCTCCCTTCCTACTTGAATCCCAATCGAACTCGCGCACTTCCACCGAAACTGGGTGACTGCGCCCTACTAGATTGGGATTTGTATGCAAAATGTCACTAAAAGCGCCATTTCGTTCTTATAAAAGCACGGATGACCGCGATGGGCCCATATGTTGTAGTCTTTTGGACGCTGAGTCGACTGGTTTTGGTCCGAAAAGGCTGCGATGCAGCGTTCCTTCTTTATTCCCAATCGAACATGGTTGAACAAGCGGTCACGTGCTCCTGCGTACACCAGTCACCTGGTCACCGTGCCTTCAGGGTACAACTTACTAGCCAGTTTGACCTTTTTTGGGTGCAGTCCTGTCACTCGAGTTGAACTCGAGTTGAACCTTGGTGTGAAAGTTGTCGCCTGCTGGCGTGGTGACCAGGTGATTTGGGCACCCAGGAGCACGTGACCACTTGTTCAACCATGTTCGATTGGGAATAAAGGAGGAACGCTGCATCGCAGCCTTTTCAGACCAAAACCAGTCGACTCAGCGTCCAAAAGACTACAACATATGGGCCAATCGCGGTCATCCGTGCTTTAAAGGGGAAGTATACCCTAAAATCAAATTTTCACCAGTTGTAGTCTTCGGGGTGCTGAGTCGAATGGTCTTGGTCCGAGGAAGCTGAGACGCTCCCTTCCTCCTTTATTCCCAATCGAACTCGCGTACTTCCACCGAAACTGGGTGACTGCGCCCTACTAGATGGGGATTTGTATGCAAAATGTCACTAAAAGCGCCATTTCATTCTTATAAAAGCACGGATGACCGCGTTTGGCCCATATGTTGTAGTCTTTTGGACGCTGAGTCGACTGGTTTTGGTCCGAAAAGGCTGCGATGCAGCGTTCCTCCTTTATTCTCAATCGAACATGGTTGAACAAGCGGTCACGTGCTCCTGCGTACACCAGTCACCTGGTCACCGTGCCTGCAGGGTACAACTTACTAGCCTGTTTGACCTTTTTTGGGTGCAGTCCTGTCACTCGATTTGAACCTTGGTGTGAAAGTTGTCGCCTGCTGGCGTGGTGACCAGGTGATTTGGGCACCCAGGAGCACGTGACCGCTTCTTCAGCCATGTTCGATTGGGAATAAAGGTACTAGTAGGGCACAGTCACCCAGTTTCGGTGGAAGTGCGCGAGTTCGATTGGGATTCAAGTAGGAAGGGAGCGTCTCAGCTTTCTCGGACCAAGACCATTCGACTCAGCACCCCGAAGACTACAACTGGTGAAATTTTAATTTTTGCCTTAACTTCCCCTTTAAATGCACACCTCCGGGCGTATTGCTCAAGTTGCATGTGTCCTGGTCTGCGTCTATCTGGGCTCTAACCTATGATGATGCTGATGCTAACCCATTTCATCCCCATTCATCAATATGAACACTCTTATCACGAAAAGGGCAAGTGCTGCCTGCTCCTACATCCCCTTTCTCAAACGTCAAAGTCTAGATCTACCCATGTGGGACGTTTTAGCGACTAAGTTCGATAGCTGAGAGACAACTCAGCTATCGCCTCGAGCAGGTCCGAGGTCTCTCCGATGAAGTTTGAGTGAGCGGCGGTAGATCGAACATTTTGCATTTTCTGCGTTGCGTGCTGCGAGTCAACAGTGCATGAAAAATGGATCTTCCCAGCTTGAGGACAGGCGCGACGCGAAGTCACTACAAGAAAAGCTTCCACTCAAAACAATTTGAGCACATCCGAGCTAGGCACAGTGAAATGGCTGAAGGAGACTGATTTCGTCTCAGATCTGGAACTGGACTCATGTTTTGGAGCGCGTTGTTGCGGACAATGAGTAGTGCTCTGACAAGTTTGGGGGCTCCTTATTGTGCTCTCACCAAGAGCTTTCCAACGAGCCCAAGATCGTCAATATCGGTAAAGTAGAACCAAAGTTGTGATGGAAATTGGATGCGCATTTTCGTGAGCGCCACAAATTCTGAGGAAACAAAAAGGTTATAGACTCCAAGGGGTTGAACTGAACCGTCCACGTCTGCTGTTCATTTTATAATCTCAACTGTGTTCTGTTGCTCCGCTGTCACCTGATTTCATTCTGTGCAGATGCGTTTGCGGACGCCAAGACAGAGGGCGAAGCTGGTGCAGGCGCATCTGGAGTCGGCGGAGTGGTGCACATCCGTATTCAGCAGCGTAACGGACGCAAGACTCTCACGACGGTACAAGGTCTGAGCGATGAGTACGACAAGAAGCGCATTGTCAGAGCGCTCAAGAAGGTAAGCTGCCGTGACTGCGGGGATAGATTGTGTTCTTGCACACCCGCCATCTGGGTATTCCCCGCCAAAGCTTGTTGCACGAGTGAAACTCCCCTTGGCCTAGCCTGCTGAAGACCAAACTCCATCTGTTTGCCAGTCACTGTTGTAACTTGCAGCGATTTTCTACTACATGTACTGTAAACGGCTAATTTTAGCGCCAGTTATGTTTTAGGGGTCATCGCAAAAGTTTTTTGCCGTCCCTGAAACGAACACCATTCGTTGGGGGGGGGGGGGGGTTGCGAGCCTCAATCGCAAGTCTGACCGACACTGTACAATAATAATGTCATGTACATGCATGCGACTTTCGTCGTCCAGCATAGCAAGCTGGGTTTGTTTCAGAGGGAGGTGAGGGTTCCGGGTACGAAATGAACAATGTTCGTTTCAGGGACGACAGAAAACCTTTGGCTAAAGTTTAGCCGCGCCAATCGAAATTTTGCATGTACAGTACTGGTCACCTTCTTTTTGACCTCTGAGAAACTTGGATCGCTAAAATATTTCATTGTGAATTGGTCCTGATTCAGAATACGCTAAAAATTTCACCCGCTAAATTAACCGTTCTACAGTATTATGATAATGCTGGGCATGTATCATTGTAACGACAGGGTCGTCGGATGGAGGTAGAAATTGGTACGGCTCCACAGTCAGAGGGGGTCCGGGGAAACTTCCCCCGGGATATTTTTTTCAAAAAACACTCAAAATACACCTCTCAGAGGGTCTCCAAAGGTACGAAGTCATTAAGGATAACAAAGAGACCGACTAGATCTACGAATCATGACGCATACATGCCATGCAGTTCCGTAGTCGACAGTCTAGTCACGCGTTACACGATGCAGTGACCTGACTGGTGCACCTGTGACGGATCCCGGCTCACGATCACGCGTGGTCATGTACAAACTCGATACCCCCATTTTTTTTACACCGGATTTGGACGTTCCGCGTGGGCCACCTGGAGCCAAAAGTGGTACGGCTCGAGCCGTACCAGTCGTACTGCTTCCGAGTCCCGACGCCCTTGAACGATATGTGCATGAAAACAGAGTGTGAGCACGGAATACTGAAAGTCGACAAATTTTTGGCCCGTTCAAATTCCGGCCTCCCCATATCGGCCGCATCAAATTTTCGCCCTCTGCTGCTGCCGCCTGTATACACTGTCAATATGAACCTTGCAAAGCAAAATTTCGGCCGCAACAAACTTTCGGCCAAACATGACCAGGCCGAAAATAGACATGCGCCGAATATTTGTTGACTTCCAGTATTGGCATTTGTGCATGCATAGCACATCATGGCACCTTGGGGATATCGGGTGGGTGGATGTGCCTACAGTATGGTCAGGGGAGTCCAGATGGTGGGGTCTTATGACTTTTCAATGTCCCTATAGTGCGTTTCAAAAGTCCAGACCTCTGGTTTCGAAAAACTGTTAGGCCAGCATCAATAGCACATAAAATTTGTGATCACTTTGTGCATAAAATTTCCAAAATTGGACATTTGTTATCCAATCGCTTAGAAATGTACAGTGCTGGCAACTGAAATCCGACCCCTGAGCGATGGGTTCACATTCTTTGCGATGTGATTTCAGTTGCCAGCACTGTGTGAACATAGTAAAAAAATATGAGAAAAATTGCGGGAGCTGCCAAAGCAATATTCCGAAGAAATTTCTCAAAAGCTCAAACCGAATTTGAATTATTCGAAAAAGTCTAGAGGTCTATACTTTCGAACACACTAGATTGTATAGCTACTTCTCTCCTTTTCACTTTTCGCTTTCCTCATTTATGAACCGTCTGTCAACCGTCAGTCTTGCTGATGGTTATTTATCTTTATCTCACTGTTTGTGACGGTCCTCTGTTGTTTTCTCCCCATCTCCATCTCTCTCTCTCTCTCTCTCTCTCTCTCTCTCTCTCTCTCTCTCTCTCTCTCTCTCTCTCTCTCTCTCTCTCTCTCTCTGTCTCTCTCTCTCTCTTCCTTTGTCCTTCATCTCTTCCTTTTTCCTTGTCTGAAAATACAGCAATTTGCATGTAACGGAACCGTTGTAGACCACTCAGAGTACGGAGAGGTTATCCAGCTGCAGGGAGACCAGAGAAACAACGTATGCCAGTTTTTAACAACAGTCGGACTCGTCAAAGAAGAACAATTGAAAATCCACGGTTTCTAAATCTACTCCATATTTTGTGCATACCTTGCTCTTTTTTTTACAACCATAAGTACCTGATGAAAACAACATAGTTGAAAAGTGCAGTGCTTCCTGCTGTCATGTCGGAGCTGTGAGTGAGTGTGTGTGTGTGTGCTTGTGTGCGTGTGTGTTTGGAAGGAGTGCATGGATATTGCAGCCTATCTCTTCGCCGTTCTCATCATCGTCGCAGTGCTGTACATAGCTGGCATGGTAGCATTAGCAGCAGGTAAAGAACCAGAGATTGCGTTTCTGACATTCGTGGGCTTCATCGAATCTCCTCTATTTCTGTTAATAGGCTTCTGGATGCCTTTACTATGCTTTGCAGGCGGGTCATGTCTGCAGTCCAATGCATTGTTCAGCTGTCAGGTCATGCTTTGTGTTGCTGTGACTACTTCAGTAGTACTTTGAAGGGTGGAATGGGCTTTTATATTTCACTTCATCCGTGCTGCCACTGCTTTAACTTTCTTCGGTACTTTTATGGTTGTGACGCTGTTGCTTGGTTTGGTCCATCCGCTTTGTATTGGGTGAACAACGCACGCTGCTGTGGTGCCTGTCCTTGCTGTTCAATACTCGACTGTTGGCAGCACGCTTTACTACCGTACTAGTTGCACTGTTTGCTGGTTGTCTTCATGATTGCAGCTTAGGAATACTGCTACGACAAAGCGTGCCACGGGTATGCACTTTATTATGGACAAACTATGTGGAGTTGTGCTGGGTGATTGCATGAGTTGCATTTGTCCGTAGTCCGTTTCAATTGTACTGTGTGCGTGCATGTACATGTATACCGGCACGGTACCGTTTTTTTTCTTTTTTTCTACAAAATCCACATATCTCCAGACACTGGGTGGACAATGGAGTGTGGTGGTGGGGCACATTAAGCTCAGCCGACCAGAGGTCTCGGCTTCATAGCTCCATGGACGCACCAAACCGGTATATTCCGTTTGGTGCAGCTGGCTTCCAATCATGAGGTCCATCGCGGGTTCCATTCTTGGTGATTGTGGTTGTGCTTACCTCTCTTCTCTTTGACCCTTTCTCCTCAGTGATTGGTGCAAACCTGGTTTTGTACCACTTTAATATTGAAGATGCATTTCGATCTTTCCTACGATGCATCTCTTTCTTTAAAAATGAATGAATAGAGGTTACCCAATGGCTAAGACCCCCAGGAAAGGTCTCTGTGTGCAATTATTGCTGATGAATTACAAGTGGTAGAAATAGACTAGGAGTGGAATAGATGAATATCAGACCATCCTCGGCTGTTCCTAGCATTGAAGTTGCGTTGCGATAAAGTGCTGGCAGATCAATATGAGCTAAAGACACTACATGCGCACGTATGGGGCATTTACTAAATCAGTTGTGTTCAAGTATGTACAAATAGTGGAATACTCCTGGGGTACTAGCCTAGGAGGTGCTTCTTCTATAGCCATAGATGCATAGAATGTTTTTGTTAGCTCCATATGGGCCATAATTATAATTACAGGCTTGGATATTGCCAACTACATGTAGGGGTTTTATTGGCAGGGGAAACTGGGAAGTACAAAGCCAATTTTTGAAGAGGCCAAATCCTACAATTATACATGTAGACTGGTACAGTGTAATAGGATATTGAAAATTCTGGACACCTTTGCACAAGAGGGTCTGTTACGGAAAAAGTAAAGCCCTTGTGCTGGTGAAGCTTGCGCAGACATCATTTCTGATAAACACAGAATGCAGACTTTTGAAGAAAGAAATTTACTTTGTATTTAATTAAGGTGTGATCTACCCTTTCCCAAAAATTGGTTAAATTAAAATCATATATAATAATTATAATGAAAAAGGATTTGACAGACAAAGAGATAACGGCTTGTGTAGCTTTTGGCTAGCATCAAGTGCGTGTGTGTGAATATGATGAGTGAGCTTCGTTTGTACATGTACCTGTAGAGGTGGTGATGTGAAAAGGACCTATAAGTTACTAGTTAATATGACAAACAGCCCACCAAGGTAACGAGATAATACTGTATTAATACATGTACATGTATGTATCATACAGTGACCATGCTGCACTAGGCACCGTTCAACTGCGCAACCCATTAAAGCAGTCAAAATCAATAATAAGCAGTCAATATAGCCCTAACTAAGGAGTGAAATATGCAGGAATATTTGACTGCTTTAATAGGCACACTATAAAGCGAAATCAATGGGAGTCAATACTAAGAGAGCAATACTCAGTCAGATAGTGCGTCGGACAACAAGGCACAACACTGACAAGGATATTGAGACATTTGACGACCTAACACTTACAATTGTAGTTCCAACACATCTACGAAGTGCAAACCAACAACCTTCCACTTGGAAGGCTCAGCTCAGGTGCGGAAAGTTCCAATGAGGAGGGAAGGGATGCACGAAGATGTGCACGAGCTATGCGCCTCGGCAGGTAACCAACGAGTTACGTTAGTACAATCATGTACATGTAGTACTGTACTTTTCTTCATTGGGATTATGTCATGCCACCTGTAGTTTTGCACCAATCGTCGCGGGCCGGCGGCGGCGGGGGGTGGGGTGGGGCAATGCCATGGCATGGCCAAGCGTGAACTACAGTCAAGTACATGTCATGTATCTCTCTGCCTAGCGCCTGCATCATCTTCATTACGACATTACATGTACTATCATTAGCCACAATGACCCTCAAACTCAAACTTCAAAGCACGAAAGCATGATCGATCACACATGTGTGGTGACATCATGTCACATTGTGACCTCGTGACGTGAGTCATTGCAAGAATGCGTGATGTCCAAATGCCAGATCTTGGCCATGGTCTCCCGGTTTTATTATTAAAATATACCGTAATGTGGCGTATTAAACACCCGTATATCAAGATGAACGCGTTCAAACCGTCCTCCCCACTAGGCCCAGACAGATTCTGCTCCGCTCGCCTCGATATTTTGCCGCAAAATGTTGCTGCGAAATCTTCGATATTTTGCCGAGCCTGGCACAAGAATCTCGATATTTTGCTCCATTTTGCTCCGGAAAAACGTGTATTTTATCCAATTCCCTTACAATCCCGTACAACGTTTCATAAAATCGCAGGGTCGGTTTCTCAACACGGATTTCCACGCACGTGTCCCTGAGTTCTTCCAAAATCATGTGGATCCACAGTGAATTCCAGTGATATTTCGGTGACATGATCTCGTCCTGGGCAATGTATCCTGCTGAACCAAGGAAATCCAAGTATCAGGCATCGATGTTACCCAACATCTCGATATTTTGCTCCGATTTTGCCGGCAATTTCCGCTCTTTCAATTCTTCGATATTTTGCCGAAAGAATTGCCGGCAGGATCTGTCTGGGCCTACTCCCCACACGCCACTCGCCGCCACATCCAGACGGGCCTGATCCTCGGTGGACGCCGTCCGGTAGCGGAAAAGCTCGCTGGTGAGGGGTTGGAGATGAGGCTCTACTCTCTCTACGCTGTGTGCCACCTTCTTCAGTTGGCCAGCGATGATGTCCCGTACCTCATTGTGGCGGAGCGTCGGGAAACCACCGGTGGGGCAAGAGAGAGCATGCTCAACATGTACATGTGTGGACTCGGATGGAGAGCCAAGGATACGTTTATAATTATAGAAAAGAAAAAATGGACCAAGGAACTACAAGTCTCCACTACTACACTACAAGTAGCGTCAAGAGTACATAATTATGTACTCTTGGTACCGTCGGTCAATGTCGTGCAATGTTACCACATGAGCTGATTGTTTAGTAACTAGTGGTGGTGTTAGTGAACATTTAATATAGCGTAACTTGTAATTCCTTGGTCCTTTTTCTTTTCTACAATTACATGTGTTTGTAAGTGTGAAAGCTGCACAATATTATTATCATCTTTATGTTGGCCTTCGAGCCTACCTACACGTACCTACCACCAAGAAGATAGCGGCGCTTCTGGGTCCGATAGGCATGAGCCTGATGAGGTCGAAGGCTAGCTCCGACACTTCTCAAGTGATCGTGATGCAGTGAGACTAGATACTAAGATAGGCTGACAAGCAGTACAACAACTACATAATTTAATATAGAATTATGTAGAATTACGCACGTGTTGTACATGTGACTTGCATGATGTTGCCTGTTGGTAGGGATCTCAGCGCGTGCACTGCGCATGCAGTTCGCGCATGCAGCCAAACGCGCATCAGAAGTGGCATGCAGAATTTTTGCCAAACACTGGCTATTTTTTGCAGAAAATTGAGATCTTGAACGAAGGAGAAATGGCTGAAATTTCCTTGCAAGGAGATGGTGGTTACAGGCTACCTGCTTACCAGAATGGGATCTTGTTTGGTATGTTGGCCGCCCATGTGTTCTGGAATCGATTTTTAGCTTTCGTTGGAAGGCGCGAAGCCGTTTTCGTTCCAAACGACAGGGTTCTTTCAGAGCGGAAAATGGCGACCATGCCGATCGTTGCCACGATCTCCGAGTTGAAAATCTCTGGATTTAACCGGGGAAAAGCTCTGGATTCAATGGTAAACCCGGCAGAAATACTTGATGTTGGATGTTGAGAGCTTGCAGGAAATTTGACCGAAGCGTTCATGCTCCACGTGACGGTGTTCGTTCTTGTGAATTTCTGCATTTCTGACATATCGCCGTGCATATGGGCCGTTGTTCCAGAGACATCGATTGTCAGGTGTGGACAGGGTTTTGTTCGAGTAGTCGTGTGGAGACGTGGTTTGGTTCTCACAGGCAACAGGAGCGACTCCTCGGGATGGCGAAAGCCAAATCTACCCAAAGCCGACTTCACGATCGCCGATCTTCTGGCGGCGCATTTTCACTTATGCTCTGCAACAAGCGGCACAAGCTGTGGAAATCGTCAGATGATAATATATATTAGCCTATCAGTGTGCCCAGAACTTCTAGTGACTCTACTGAAGCATTAGCTTGAGTAATCTTTCTTTCTAGCCCTCTCTTTCTCTCTCTCTCTCTGTCCCTCTCTTTCTCTCTAAAAATGTTCCAAACTTCAAAATCTAGGTCGAGCTGCATCGGGGAGTCGTCAAATACCGACTCACTGAGCCGGTTTTTGGCGATCGCCATTTTTTTTCAGTCTGCCATCGCCGCGTTGAAAAATCGATTACATCATTGAATGCGCAAAGCCCTGCGCAGTGTCCGCGCTGACATCCCTACTGTTGGATCACTTTGCTGTGGAGCATCACATGACCTTCATTCCCCGTTTGCTATTGCCTAATAGTAATGGGTGCGTCAGGCTCGTAACGGTTGACGTCCAGATCTGTCTATCACTGCGGCCGTGCGAGTGCATAATACACGCAGGTGCCATAGCCTAGGCCCGGTTCCACTGCTGCTCCGCTGCTCCGTGGCAAGTCCCATACCAAAGCTGCGGCGGCTTGCAGTGGCAGCGGGTAGCACGTTTCTACTGGACTACTCAGTTCAGATTGCGTTTACATGAGATTTTCCAACCAAAGTTCAACGGGGGGGGGGGGGTTGAGTCTGTACGGCTACTGGGTTCCGTATGAGCCTAACCCTAAGTAACTAGTTAGTTCACCGGCACCCTTCACTACCTAACCTAATCTCATCCTGTCTCCTCCGGCCTTGCTAGGTGACATCAAGAGACTCTCCGAGTGCACAACGAATTACCCAAATGTACTACTGAGTACATGCATTTGTACGTCATGCACTTCCCAGCTCTTGATGATAATCATCCATGTCTGTCAAGTGT